TCTGTTAACAGTGATTGCGAGGTTAATTTGCAAAGTGTCTCATACTTCCTGTTGTCTTATTCTACATGTACACAGGCTTTTCTGTAATCTGTCCATTACAGGAAGGAGAGATGTTTGTTTGTGGTTGTCTTTGGGGTGGCCCAGAATTCGATATGTTCCGTTGACCGTTCCAGTCGCTGCAGAGTGTGTCTTGGGGGCTGAAAGGAGTTATGGAATTATGCAAGGAGGCAGATGGGGACATAACACTATAGTCTCGCAAGCTGTAGCTGAAGTATTCCAAAACCTCAGTTTGTGCTCTGAAACTTGAAGATAAAAAGCGAGGCAAAGCGAACCATCGTTATGAGGCTTTTAATACATCGAATTTCAGTAAAAGAGTCAAGCCAGAAAAATGTCCCAGGCTTGCTTTCCTGGTACGGGTCTTGGGCTGCCAGTGGACAGTCGGAGTCTCGGCAAATCCGACTGCCTTCACAGACCACCTGAAAGCTGAAATCTTGAATTTTTTACACTGTGCTGCAATCTCTCTCCTGCCTTACTCCCTAGAAGCAAAAAGGGGAAACAAATATCATTCAACTTGAAAAAGCAGCTGGAAAACCACTTGGATGCTGTGGGCAGACATGACTCAAACACACAGACAGCCCTGTACATCCCAGTTCTGCAGCTGACATGAGAAACGCCAATCAGAACAGGAACTGAATGCTCTTTGAGTCATTCATCCATCAGTATCACACACCAGCGCCTTCTGGGGAAGAGAGCACAGAGCTTTTCTTTTTTGATGCCATTAATTTCTGTTCCATTTATTAATTTCTTTTCTTCAACGTTGAAATTAATTAATTAATGGTATTTTCTGTAGATTCCCTGTATTGCCAACATGTTTATTAAAGGCTTTTAGTTTGCTTTGCTACACTTGGAAGGCTTGTGCTTTGCTGTGTTTGGTGTTCTGCATGGAGTGGATGAATTTCAAGGCCTGACCTTTAGAGTTGTGTCTCAAACCTCCAATTTATATGCAAAGTGTTCTGCAGCACAAGCTGCTGTCTTTACACTGTATAGATGACTATTATTACAGATCAGTGTACAGATAACTGTGTTTGTAACTTAAAGCACTTGCTCCAGTCTGGAGACAGTGATGCAGTACATGGTTGTAAAAATACATTAATGGTATGGTATTATGATATTTAATATAATACTGAGAAGATGATTTCTTCTTTGCAGATGAAGCCAGCAAAACTAGCAGCTAGCAAGAGGATAAAACTAATGAGAGTGGTGAATTGAATCCATCTAATCGAGAGTGTTTTAGCCATTTTCAAAAGATTCTGGCATTATTAGAACAAACTCCTACAGTCTCATCTGTTTTTCATTAAACATGCTGGAGGCATTTTGTCTCTGCTTTTAAAACACACAGTGCTTGTAGCATATTAAAAATTCACCAAATGTGAATTCACTTTGCTTAAGCCTAGATTGTTAATTATGTAAAACACATAGCCACTGTGAAGACAGCTGTCTGAGTGTCCCGCTGGACAGTGTTGGGCATTCATGTAGTCTCTGAACAGTGTCAGAACGGACTCTTCATCCATCAACTTTCAGTAACCTAATAAAATGTTTGTTCATGACAAATTGCAAGAATTATTTGTGCAGTATTTTTAAAAAATGCTTGTGCTTTCAGATTCCTTCTCCACAGTGTAGTAACGCAAACTTTTTATTCTAATGAGGTGATTAGAGTAATTGACATGAACATAGAGGTGGCACCATTGTTGAAATGTTGAGGAGTCTTGATCAGTGTTGCACAGGCCAGACTGCACATCGTGCTTGACCCCCCTGCTTGACCTCTGGCTGTATCACTTTTCTGTTGGTCAATAACCAATAACAATAAGGGCTGAATAACCTTAGAGAGGAGTGTTGGTTTTGCTCCACCTTGGGGACACTACAGTCGATCACCTAAGCAAGTGAGGGCTTTGGAAGGAGCAGTACCTGTCTGGAATGAATGCAAAAAGGATAAAGAAGTCTCCTTGCTGATGGCTTTTCTTGTGAAATTGAATATTTGCACCCTAAAACAATGATTGCCTCCATTCCACCCGGCCTATCGGCTTGTATTACCAGTAAGCCTGAGACGCAGATCCAGGCAGCCTGTGTTACTCAGCTCCCCGGAGCCCTGAGAAGGTTAATTATGTCAGGCAGCTCCACACTGAGGACTGAGTGTCCTCGGTCACCGAGTGGAGTGTGTAGAACAGGACAGTCCTCCTGTGGAAGTAATCCCTGGTCATGTTATAGCCGAGAACACTTATTTACCGCTGCTCAGAATTGCTTTGTTTAGAGGAACCCGCCTTGCAGACAGAAGTGCTGATTAGCAGAGGAAAAATGAAATTAATGTGTAAATGATCGTGGGCACATTAGCCACATGCGGCATATAATGTAAAAAGGCTTAAACTGGAATAGCAATATTTGCTTTTTTTTTTAAAACAAAATATCCACACTGCAGGGGGATGGTGTTCTTTACTTCAGGAGAGTAATTTTATTCTAACGATCTAAATAACCCACTGAATCTGGGTCAATATGGGGGAGAGTGAACACTGTAATTACCCTTTATGAGGCTGATGTCCTGTCCTCACAATTATAGTGCTTGTGAAGTTGCAGGCACGGATAAAACGTAGCCTGACGGGAGTGCTTTTGAAGCTGGTGTTTCCCAGTACCTGCGTCGGTCGTTGTTCGCGCTACTCAGCCCATGGAGAGCCCTTGTGCGGAGTGCTGTGACCATGCCCTCAGCAGCGCGGGTTCAACAGCCTGGCTGATACAATGACAAGAGCCAGCCTGAGTCTTTTCAGCTGCGATATTAACTGTGGCGCATTTGTGTTCCAAGCAGATGGTTCTGGAATTCAAAATCCTTGAAGGCATCCATGAAGTCAACCCAGTGGAATTCTTCAGAATGAACTTTGTGGAACGCACAGAAACTCTTGTATATCAAATTGTAGTTGAAACTGTGAAACAGAAAGGCACTTCTTTACCTGAAGAGTTGTGGGTGTCTTG